TGGGTAGTGATTTGATCTCCTATCTGGTGGAGCCTGAATATTTCTGAATACAGGACTGAACAAATCCCAGCAGCCAGATAGCCAATGCTCCTAAGAAAGATCACAATGGGATTACCTGAAGGTGAACTGTCTCCTTTAGGTCCCTCCTCTGCTGATTGACAGCAGGCAGTGGATGGGTGCAATAGCCAGCCTGCTGTTGTCCATTTCAAATTGCAATAGCAAACAGCAGGCTGGCTACTGCACCCGCCCAGTGCCTGCTGTGTTCACATTCCCTGGCTGAAACTATTGAAGCCATGTGTGCTTGGATAGATCCTTTGAAGTAGAAAGGTGATCCCAGGGGTTTATTAAGACCCCTAATGTCACCTTAAAGAGAACCTGTCACCTCCAATGTGCTATCACATAGGGACCTTGTGATAGCTATAGAGTTAACAAAACAAAAAAAGTTTAAAAAACAAAAAAGGTAAATAAAATAAATGTTACCTGGCGAGTCCTTGATCTGGAGCAAGGAAGAGCATATCAGGAGTTGGGAGACGTGATATGCACATGCTTGTTCCAGATCAAGGACTCTACAATCAGCGAGGAATAAGGAAGCAAAAAATAATCTGTCAAACCCAGGACCGTTTAAATTGAGCATATGAAGAAAAAAAACATGCATGAGCAGAGGTTCTCTTCAATAAAAACCTCATGTCAGAGTGATCAATAAATACAGAGATACAAGGCGGTCTCACTGACCAACAGAGGAGGACAGGGAGGTAAAGGGGGAGGAGCCAGACGCAACAATTACTGCAAAGTCCCCATTTTTACAATTATTACGCTTTCTCTATAAGTTACTCATTGATAACACTCATTTCTCACTAAAAGTAACTTCTACAGTCTGAATGTCCTGGTGCCAAGATCTATGGGAGCTGTCGTGTTTTTACAGATTCCCCTAAATTACCATTGTGTGTGATCCCTGAATAATGCCGACTCCTAGACTGGACCAGTGCTTAATGAATGCACTCATACAAGTGTTTTGTAGCTCCATCATCTCACGTTATCTTTATGGAGAAAACTTGTGTGTGAGAAGCATTCCTGACACTATACGGGGAACGGCATGCTCATCAATCAGGAGCACTCTATGGAAGAAGGAACTTGCTGTGCATAAGGGGTGACCAGAAATGGGTGGCAAAAAAGCAGAGAGCAGAACATGGTCCCCTGCGCGTCTCTCGGATCCAGGTCAGCCCATCCTCCTGTACATAGCCAATCCCTTAAAGCAGGGATGTCCAAACTGCCGCCCTCCAGCTGTGGTGGGACTACGAATCCCATGAGGCTTTGCAAGATTCTCACAGCCACGACTCCCGGACAGAGATGCTTCATGGGATTTGTAGTTTCACCACAGCTGGAGGGTCGCTTTTTGGACATCCCTGCCTTAAAGGGTAATGCTAGTCAAAAAGTTTAGTTTTGGATAGGGAAAGGGTAGGAAGGGGTTAGAACCTCTGTCAAGTTTTTATGGCCATGTCCCCACTCTTAAAGGTTTGCCCTTTAACCCTTTCGCTGCCAAGCCCTCCGGAACATTTTTCAAATCAGCTGGCCAAGCCATTTTTGAATTTTCTGCAATTTTTTCCTATTGATTTGATTTTCAACTGCTGTGTTGCTAGCGTTTGTAAAAGACCCCTCAAACCATATATTTTCTGAAAGCGCAGGCCCGGTAGAATAAAAAGATGGTGATACTAAATTTGTAGGCCCTGCGATAATTGCGCAAATGTTTCTCAAATTAATATTAAACCGATAAAAATACACAATTCAATTGTTAAAACACACCAAAATCAGTATCCGTGCACAAAAAAAAATATTTTTTGACTAAATCTAAAAGATAAAACTGTATTGAGTTAATAAATAACAAATATTAGCAAATTTGTAATTGCGCCTTTTTGCGAAAAGGTAAAAAAATGAAGGTATGCAAAACTGTAAATAATCGACTTATGTAAAAAATTGTTTTGGTGTTTGTGTTGTGATAAAAT